AAACATAAGCAATACACTGACGTAATATTCTCTGACCGACAGCCTGAAATAGATCAATAATTATGTCAACAGGATACCCAAAATTAATCAGCTTCGTGTTCGAAAGTCTCGACTTTCCCAACTTTTGTCTCCGTATACAGATTTCCATGAACATTTAATTTTCTTTCAAATATTTCATGCGAAAACGCTCTTTCTAATGTTCTCCTTTGAAAATTTACGCGGGAAATTGGCACGCGGGCTGGCCAAAATTAATCCTTTGCGAATGCGTGGTTTGACGATTGACAACAGACAATGCATACTGTGCAGGTGGCTGGTAACGAGGCCCATAAAAAGCTTTACCAGTAAAACAGGACAGAGCCGTAATTAGCATTGTTTATGTCTACTGACCTTCACAGTCGAAGACAGAACACTTGCGCTCTATAAATACTCATGCACAACGTCCGAAATGCTCCGAAAAGAGCCGGAAAATGAACAAAATTTTTAGGTTTTGCAGAAAATAAATTCCCTAAGATCAAAGTGTATCCACGAAAAAACCTATTCCAACAAATAACTGATTGTTAATTCAAACTCTTAACTCGAAAGCAAACCACTTTAAATCTAAAGGTTAGCGTACATCTTCAAACTCAATAAAAAATCAGAAGATTTTTCAAATTTGGGGTTTGAGAAAAGAATATTCGCTTCACTTTGAGGATTGTGTCGCCATGTCCATTTCACTGAAGAAATGTGATGATCACTTTATCATAACAACATTCGTTTAGTTGATTTGTCCCAATGTTAAAAGACCCTCCCCCTCCCCCACAGAAAAAAGCTTTATTCCCACCTCCATTTCCTCCAGAGTAACCACCACCGCCCCAGCTCTGTTGTCGCCTCCACGGAAACCACCGCCACCTCCAAATCCACTAAATACTCTACACCCTCTCCCCCCTGAAATTATCCTTATCTCGTCCTCCACCACTAACAGTATTTCCATTACAGAAGAGTTCTTCCTCGTCGTTGTTTAGTAGGTAGATCCTGTCAAGGGAATATCACTGCGGTTTCCTCGCTTTTTGAGAATCCGAGATAATAAGAAACCTGAACAAGCCACGGACAGAGTTCACAGGTTTAAAACAATTTTATTTTTAAGGAACGATGTTCACCATTTGGCACGGGAGTGGGTGAAACAAAAATATGCCCTCTGGCGAGGTTAAAAACAATACTGGGCCAGTTTAGGGTTTCCGGCGCGAAGCTCTACAATCTTACCTTCAATGAGCTTTTTAGCTCTTTGAATCAGTTTCTGAGTTCATATTTTGCAGGTGTCGTGTATGATTGTAAGTTCCGTTACTTCGAAATCGTCCCTAATCACAGAAAATTGTTTCGGAATGCCTTTTGAAATTTTAGTTTCCCTTCAATCTAGGTTGCGGAAATGTACAGAAGCCAAGAAATTGTAAAGAATAACGCAAATCCTCCACCAACTACGGACGCCTCCGATGACATATATTGATGCAAGAAATAATTCCTTTTCGTATACTGTGGAAAAAGAAGAGTTGGCGTCTCTTGAATGCCCAGGAAAGTGATTTACTTGCACTCGCCAAAAGCATTGCATCTTCTGTTCACAGTAAGCGCTTATTTGGACGCAGTGATAATAGGACAAGTTGAATTTTCAATGAAGATGTGTTACCAGCTGCTGCTCTTATCTTTTACACCGTTTATCTCACGAGAGTGGTCAGATTTTAATTTCCTCTAACATTTATAAGACACT